AAAGAGCTTCCCTCTGCTCAGATCTATCAGAGATGCTAAGAAAGAGCTGTAGAGGGATGACTCCTCTTACCCCATTCAGCATAAGAAAGATTCCTGTGTGTAAAAGGGGAAGGGGGGTGCATCCCATAAAAGAGGCTCCTGATTACCATCTTAGTTTATGTGGATTAAAGAGAAAAGTTTTGAAAGATTTCAGAGCAAGACCATTAATGCCTTCTTTTTTAATAAGTTTTGTTTCCTTTTTCCCTTAGCTTGGGAGCTGAAAAGACCTCTTGTTGTATGTAAAGTTCCCAGGTTTCCAGGAAGAAAAATTCCTCATCTCCAAAGATGTCTCAGGGGAGTTCTTCCTGCCATCCTTCTCCTATCAATGCAAGGTGCTTTGCAGATCGAGAAAATCCTTTGGACTTGATCAAAGTAGTATTTAAGCACAGAGGAAAAACAGACTCACAATACACAGCAAGGAAAGGAGAAGGAAGAGGCCCCAGTGTTACCCTGAATGAGATTACTGGGAAAATCATGGAAAGAACCTATCAAAACATCCTGGAAAGAGAAACTACTAACTGGGTTCTACAAACTCACTCTTTCAAAGAATTCTGTTACCAAGAAGCTGATGGCCCCCGAGAACTTTGTAACCAACTCCACCGTGTTTACTGTCAATGGCTAAAGTCAGAAAAGCACACAAAAGCTCAGATGCTGGACCTCCTTGTCCTGGACCAGTTCCTGGCTATCCTGCCTCCAGAGATAGAGAGCTGGGTCCGGGAGTGTGGAGCAGAGACCAGTTCCCAGGCGGTGGCCCTGGCTGAAGGCTTCCTCCTGAGCCAGGCAGAGGAGAAGAAACTGCAGGTGAGACAGTATCATTCAAAGGGGTGAAATGATGGGAAACAATGTTATTGAATTTTTAAATATTTCCCTTCTACAACTAATATCATTAGGAGGAGATTTATTTTTTCCTTGGATAGATTATTCTGTTGTCCGTTCCTGAACATTTCTGAGGACATGTAGAGAGTCCAGTCCCTTTTCTGAAGGGGGGCTGTGGGGTTGAAAGCAGTGGGCAGTGATGTACTCTTCTCCCTTTTTTCTTGACAATTGTTTTAGGCTCAGCAGCCCTTCATGAAGGTGGCCATTGAACACTCTAATCCATATCCTCCTCAGGAGCTGGTCTTTGGGGAGCTCTCCCAGGAGAAACCATCTCAGGACCCATCTTCAGGTAAAGGAAGGTCCTTCTGATGCAACAGAGTCCTGAGGAGTGTGTACTGCCTGAGCTATTCACGAGCTTGTTTTGCAAAAGTACTTAGCTCTATATGTAAGAAGGCCGTTGTATTTAGCTTTGTGCTAGATGTTTCCAAAACATGTAATTACTTCTCTTTTACCTCATTCTCAGAAAATGAAACAGCAGTAATGCTACCTGTGGAAACATCTCTTCTTTGTGGTGGAACAGAAACAGTGGTAGTATTTCCAACTCAGGTAAGAGGAAGGTTCCCCAATACAAATGGGGTTTCTGCAAAGAGAATCTTATTCTGTCCATAATGGTCCAAATCTCCTTTCCAGTGCCATCCCCTTTATTATCTCCCTCTAGCCAGTTTTTCAGTCATGCGCAGCTTCCCAGTGTTCTGATGGGAAAACCCATTAGGGTTGCAAGTCATCTGCAGAGTTATGGCACTCTTGCTAATTCCTTGAGGATGTCTCCCAGCAACTGTGTAGGTGCAGAGTAAGGAATTTGTTGACTAGTTAACATGTCATACGGGGCTCTCTGAAGAATTCATCGAGGAAGCT